CTAGAGTTTCTACTTTGCTCTATAATCAAAAGATACTCATGAGCCGTAGTTATCTGTGGGTAACCCATTATTTTAATAATACTTATGAGAAACTAAAAGGCTAAGAAAATATATAAATAACTATTTTTGAATTTTAACTAAGAACGCTCAATCAAGACATTTTTCAAACAAGCAAAACAAATAAAATTATGCCTCAGATAGACATGACAAGACACACACGTTACATCTATAACATAACTTATAATTTAAAAATACGGTATATTGACTCTTTTAGTTGAAAATTAATTTAAACACTTTTACCCGATCGGACTTGTATATTACACAAACTTTTTCCTTCTAAGAATCTGTCTCTTCTCTACCAACAGCAAGAAAAAGATAAAGAAATCTTAAACAAGATAGGAAAAGATTGTTGTGTGTTTGTAAGATAAAAACGCGACAGATACTCAATCTTCATTTCCACATAAGCAAGTTCTATTTGTGATGACAGAATTGAATGACTTCATTAAATAATTAAACATACGTGACACTAATCGAATTATCACACATTATTTTTCTTGTTGTAGATTATTTACTAGTACAATTAATCATAAACAATTTGAACTCGTCTAGACGCGTGGGTTACCTAGACACCTGGAAGTTGCATAGTCACTAAATGTGAACAGACATAATTTATCATTCTGCAAATTGTCCGCTGAGGAATACTGATGAATGATCGGCTATGTTGCTGACTTAAAAATAATAATCACAAAGCATTCACAACCGACGGTGTGTGCAGATGCGTGTTAACACTCGCGTTTTGTACACATTAATTTGGTCCCATTGATGCAGAGGGAAAGCTTATTGTCGTCGACTGGAAAATTGGAAATTAAAGATAAGAAAATTAAAAGTGTATCGAAGGAGAAAAAATAGACAAAATAAAACTCAGCCCACCTGACGGTAAGGAATGATGTAACTTGTGCTCCTAGAGTTTGAGTATAAAAAGTAAAAAATAATATGAATACCAGTAACTCTATTTATTTTATACAACTCGCTTTAAATACATAATAACTTTTAAAAAAACACTGTTTATTCTTATTATAATAAACATAATGCATTAAACCGAAAGAATATTAACTAAAAAATAATTGAACCAAAACAGATAAAATAAAGTCAGTACAAGTCTGCATCTCAAAACTGAGTGCCGCGATGTAACAGCTAAAATACATAATTTCTTATTTTTTGCAATCTGTTTTCGTAGTAGAAATGGGTATTTCTTTTATACATTTTGAAGCTTGGAGCTGAAAGTTTTATCATAAATACACTTATATTTTATAGTTTAGACTTTTATAAAGAAAATGAAGTCTTTTTTTTTAATAAAATGATTTAATTAGTTTATGCCTATATCTTTCTAAAAACTGTATGTCCTTAAAGATACATGGCTACTTAAAAACTGTGGAAATAAGTAACGGATAACTAATTACCTTGCCAGTACTTTTATAACACCGTTCAGTCGGCAGGTGGGTTTTACGAGTTTTAGTGTTAATTTTAAAAATATAATGACCCCAGTTTTGTAACAGATGTTGTGTCAATTATGTCAGTTTAATATAATATTACAATGTGTATTTATTTTTAATTATTAAGAAAAAATTAACAGTTGCAGTGAAATTGCATTAATAATATCCTATATCACTACTATGATGTAGTAGATACATATAATTCCGTACTAGTAAGTCCGATATTCTACTGAATAGATAAATACAGCGGTCGAACACGGCATTGTCGCTTCATCGTTGCGTCGATATTCCAGCTTCTTAGACAAATACGGAGCACGGATGATACTTCAGTATTTCAAAGGAAATTACCTTAATAAAAAAATAAAATCTTTAAAAATAAATGTATTGATAGCTGGCTTTTGGTTTATATTATGAACTGTGAACGGCTTTATATAAAACTCAGTGATTGTTCGCAGACGGCCAGTAGTTACCTACCTCTCATCGATAAGAAGCACAAAAATCTATTTGAATCTGTCTAAAATCACCCGTAATGTACCTTTAACTTTTCTTTCTTCTTCCTTGGCACCTGGAACGAAGTTAACTAAATCCCGGTTGAATAATGGCCTCCGATCTTCGTTGGAGTGTGGAGGGTTTCAAACTAAGCCGCCTGCCAATAACGCTTTTTCAAAATCACTTGGATGAATGTTCTACAGTTTTATCTTCAAACACGAGTAGAATATAACATAATTATTTGAATGGAAATAATCTCTGTATTTTAAATAACTGAATCAGCTCATTTAAGACTTCTCCTAATTGGAACAGTTACAAACTTTTATTGAAGTTGTGTATATTTAACTAATACAATGTAAATATTTGTGTGGCGTATCTTTCACGATCAAGTCCTAGGTCAAGCTGAATGTTGTTATGTCCTATGTACGTTCAGAAAGAAACACGCTATTGTGCCTCTTTTGTGAAAAAAATAAAATGCTGATGGCGAAGAATACATACCGTTGTGCATTCCTTGGAGGTTACTTTATGACATTTTCCATACACATTATAAGAAGTAACAAAAAAAACATTGGCTACCTTTGATGAAGAAAAAGAGTACATCCCCGGGAAAAAGCTAATATAAAACAGTATAATTAAGTGTAGCTCGCATTTTCCAACATAAATTTCGTCTCAAGGTTGTCTGAATAAGTATTCTAAGAGTATTTTATTACATGAAAAAGGATATAAGAATAACATGAATAAACTAAATATGAATTCAGAAATAAAGCCGTCCAATAATTATTTTTAGAATGTTGTAACTTATGTACAAGCACGTTACTCACTTTTGGGCTGTCATTGAAACCTGTCAGGCCCTCTTCAAAAGTTTCTTCCAAACCAGAATAGTCCAAAACTTACGAAGTGTCCCCTCCATACTAGACAGAATAGGAAATTGTGATAAATTGATCTTGTTTTTCAGTAGCTTACGCAGTCCTGCTTTTGAAGTAGTTAAAGCTATAGAAGGACTTGCATAACTCGGCTTTTTCTAAAGAATTAATTTAGTGCAATGGAAAGTTTTGTTTCATGAAATATTCCTTTACATTAGCCTGTTAAGAGCCCGGTCAAGTACAGCCTCGCCCACTTGGAAATCTATTGTGTTTTCATATTCATAAAAATACAATAACCGTTTTCTAGTTGTATTTCTAGAATATAATAGAATAATCTAATGGTAATCAGACTTGATAACATTTGTCACTTGTGAGCTCGCTATGATCTCGGCGTATGTGACATCGTTGATAAAAAGTAAAAAAAAGTGTGGCATGTAAAAATTTATAGCGATAATGTGGGTAGATTTTTTGGGAATCTGAACATTACTGGGACTAGATTAAGATATTGCCTAAAATACAGATATGCAAATACTTTAAAATCTTAACCTATCTCGATGTCATCTTATTTTATATATTATAGAATAATCGAAAATGGTTTGTTCTTGATAAGAGAGAATAAGCGCAAGGGAATCGTACCCTATTAAAACTGTATCCGTGATGCCTGTTAATAGACTGAATAAGTGATAAATTGTTACGTAAAGTGTTTGTAGTATAAGTTCTCAAAACGTGTGTAAAAATGACTGCTTTTGTGTTACATCCCAAAGGACAAACACAGAAACAAACAACACACTAATGCAATGAATTCTCATAAACTTATTTTAGTCGTTAGAAAAACAATGTGACCAATATATGTAGTTTAATGATTTTAAAAATTAGATATTTTGAAGTTTATAAAGTGACTGTGTATATCGTAATAATTATTAATAACTTAGCTACAGACGTGTTTTTTTAATTCTTTACTTCTGTTCTTTTTCTCCTCTCTCTCGCACTCATTAGCGCTATCCCCAAAGTTTTTTTTTTTTTAATTTATTTTACACCTAATGGAGCAGAAAGCTCCCCCCTACCCTATGTCAATTTGAACAATATTCGGCATGTTTCCCCGGGGAAAGAAAAATCCCCCTTTTCCTCTTGTCCTTTAGAATAATTAAGTCTTAAGTCTATGCTACATAAAGTACCGTAATTTTTACCCATTTTAACACTCAGAACTAAATCAAATCTTAGTCATAGATAATCAATTGTTGGACAATTAATAATAAACTGGTATGCAGAACCAAAAGGACACAACTGCTACTTGAATAAGTTGCAGTGTAATAAAAAGTAATCATTTGTACGACCATAAGCAACTATAGTCATATAAATGATGATTTTCGTCTGCATAAGCACATGGAAAAGATATATATATTTACTTACATAATATCATACGACGTATTCGAATTCACGATCAAACCTTGTCGTGTCTCATGTCTTTGTTAGCGCAAAATAAGAAATAGACTACAGACACTTGTGCATAATGCCCCTCACTCTACATCCTACCGCTATTGATTTCATATTCAAGCAATTTATGTGTGTCGGCATTGCGACATAACATATTTTAACGTTCAGCGCTCCGAAACATAAAGTTAATATTTACTACGAACCGGCTTAAACCATTAATATTCAATATTTTATATGATGAAAAATGATTCAATAATTTATATTTTATAGAGACAAATTTATAACAAAAAAAATTGGTTGTACAAAATATTGTTCGAATTGTTTAATCTATGTTTTATATTAAGTATATTTACATGTATACCTTTGTTATTGTGTTTCCCAGTATCTCCTTACCATCGGGACTTTATGTGCCATGAGATGTATGAGCATGTTTGTGGATTAATGTTTTAAGTTGGCTTAAAATAGACAAAAAAATCAAAATTTGCGTTTACAACTGTATAAGAGTCGATAAAAATTACATGTCACGTAAAACGTGAATCCACCTCTATCACACTAGTGATAGAGGTGGATTCACGTTTTACATCATATTTAATTAGTACTAAATCAGCTTAACTACTTAGGGTTGGCGATAAAAATAAGATTATATGTAACGTTTGTTCTTTTACAAAAACAACATCACTAAATGACAACTTTCTTCTTTACAGGTACAAGAAACAACAATATGACATTCTGGAGAGTAATAGTCCTCGCGTTTACCACGCTAATATTCGTCGAAGCAAAATATTATCAACACCATAAACGTGATACTTCTACAAATATATGCGACCCATCATACAATAGCACCACATACGTACAATGCTATTGTGTATTCGATCCCAGGGACCGGGCGATCGTTCGTCACGCCGAATGTCACCTCACTAAGAAAGATGTTTCACCAGACGATAAATGCTGGGCCAGCTTCAGTACTATAAAAAACGCCACTAAACTAACATTGTCAAATACAAGAGGAATCCATTTAAAATATGTGCCTACCAATGCTCTCCTATACATGCAAGTATTGATGGAGTTGAACATAAAGTACGGCAACATCGAGAACATAGATAGTTTCGCCTTTGGTAACTTGACTTTGTTAGAGGAGATTTCATTGAGCGATAATCAAATTAAAACATTGTCAGTTAATGCGTTTGCCCATCATAGAGACTTAACTAGCATTGCATTAGATACAAACAATTTGCAAGAAATTAATAGAAACGTATTTGTCGATCTGCCTTCCTTAGAGAAACTATTTCTGACAAACAATCAAATAACAACAATTCATGACAAGGCATTCGTTCATTTGCTCAACTTGAGGGAACTGGAAATTGATAGAAACAACTTGTTCAGCTTGAATAGCGAGACTTTCTCAGGTTTGAAGAAATTGCGGAAATTGGATCTCAGTGGCAATAGTTTAGAAGTCATTGGCGATAACACTTTCTTGCCCCTTACTAATTTGGAATCTCTAAATTTGGACGGAAATAGAATTCAAATGCTTGACGAAAAAGCTTTTTATGGATTGGGAAATCTACAGGTCTTATCCTTAGTTCACAATAATTTGACGAAAATAGATAACCCAAAAACATTTGAAAGTCTGCACTCTCTAAGTGTTCTAAGTTTGAAAAGCAACAAGCTTATTGAGTTAAGAGCTGAAATCCTTGCGCCCATTTTAAATAATTTCTACAGTAACACTAGCAATTTGGACGTCGAAGGTACGGCTTGTTTTTTTCTTTCTAACGTAAGTTACTTTTGACACCCCTTTCGGTCGTGGGTTTGATTCCCATCCTCGATAAATATTGTGTGATGAACACAATAATTTATCCTGTGTCTTGGTGTAATATATGTATAAAATGTATATATTTATATAAGTATGTGTCAAATTATTATACAAAAGAAAATAAAAGAAAAGAAAATTTTAACAAATGATGAGTATCAGTTTGTCCATTGGTAATGTCAATATTCATAAAGTAGTCGTGTCAATAAAATATTATCATTTAATAGACTTTATATTTCTTTCCACTTAGATTTATAAAAAATAGAAAATGACTATACTACCGTACTCAATTTCATTTATATATTTTCAGATAACAACTTCCCATGCGACTGTCATCTGGACTGGTTCATGACACTCATAAACAAAACTCAAAACATCAATCTCAAAATCGCCATAGAAAACTTGAAATGTAACCCAAGTGATACTTTAAGAAACTTGTGGGTAGCGTTTGCAGAATCCGAAAAGAATACAGACCAAGCGTTTGAAGATGATGCATCTCAAATACAAAATCCAGACATCGAATATTACGAAGAAGGTCCACTGAATGGTAAATTCTTTTACATGGATATCAGAGATCTGGCAAATTGCACTAACAATACTGACAACCTACAACTAATGGCAAAGGCAATGAAAAAGGAAACTATTACTTCGTCAACAACTTCTGGCATAGTTACCAAAGCAACCATTTCTAGTCAGACTTCACCTAAGCCAGTATCTACCACAGAGTATATAGAAATTACTTCAAAAGATGTTCCAGTTAGCTCATCTCTATATCCAATTGAAGCTCAAGAATCAACAAATAAGCCAAATAAAGATAATGAAACGAAAATGAAGGAAGCATTCACAACAAGTCGGTTGGCTACAGTTTCTGCTAAGCCCCTAAATCATGATGCTAACTTATTCGATAAAGAGATGGCATCCGATGAGGCTCGGCCTGAAGGGGCTAAAGCTCATAGAAGCGTACAAGAAAAAGATACACCAAAGTATAATGCGAATAGTGCGCAACCTAACATAAGTAGGATGGTTGTCGTCATTATCATGTTAACCCTTAGATTATGTTTTTAAATCATTGTTATTGTAGTGCTTTAGTTGGTAATGTTAAACTCTCTCACAGTCATTAAAATAAATAGTATTTAAGATTATGTGGTTGTTTATTTTTGTTTCTATGCCTGAAAAAATATTTGAATATGCCACATATTGTGGTGTTTTGGCCCGAAAAGGTTGGCTTCTCTTCGATATATATTTAAGACATGAAATAAAACAACTCTGTATTTAGAAATAAATTCAGATTGTAGTTCACTATGTTATACCTCTACTATTTAAGTTCTTGAGTAAACTAACAGAGGACTTCGTCGGTGTTTTTTTCATTATTGTTAAAGAATAAGGTTCAAATTCGGTTGTACCTAAATGTATGTAATGCTTATCTACTCAGTAGAATAAATGTAATAGTACGAAAGTCTCTTCTCTCTTTCCGCAGGGCGTGTATTTTCTTTTTGGTCTGTTCTATTGTTTACAATGGGTTTATAACACCGTACTTTATTTGTTAAATAATAATTTAAAAAAAGCAAACATTAAGTTAGTAATTAGTATGTAGCGCGAGGTATTACGCTATCTGCGTCCAGAACCAGTTGTCAGACCCTCGTCACCTGATAAGTACATCGTTATGTCAAACCTAAGGAACCCTAAACTCAAAGGGTTTATTCTTGGTCGTTTAATTCACTACTTAAGTGCTATCATGATGATAGTTCTTATTTACTACGTAGGTAGATAAATCAATGCGCTGTAAAGTTTAAAATCAATATTTTCAATATATGGCTCATGGCTAAGTGATAACCGAGTAGTCTAGCACATTGTAAAGTTAAGCATTCCTAGCCAGGTCGGTTTATGGATGTGCGACCACTTTTAAAACATTGAGACCCCTTCGTGCCTCTGATAGCACGTTAAGCTGTCGATCCCGATTGCTATTCGAACATCTGTAGCAATCGTAACGGGTGGTTGGAGCCCTAAAGAGTCCTACAACAGTCAATCTACAGAACTTCGATATAGCCTAGTGCCTACTTGAGTTGCGGAGGTCTGATGGCAGTCTCTCCAAATAAAAAAAAAAAAAAAACAAATAGAAAAAGGCTTGGAGGATGAGGATGATATCCAATAGACAGTAAGTATGGTGGAAAGACTGAAATACAAACACTTTTTTAGTACAAGGGGGCAAACGAGCAACACCGGTTTTCTATGAGGCCATGGCATCACTTCTATCGAGCCGAGCCATTTGTGGCAAAGCATGCCTCTCCCCCCTGGTAAACACCACTACACCACCCACACCAACTAAATATTATAAAAACAAACTCAATTTTCTTTGGAAGAAGAACAATTTTTAAATATTAGCTATTAGATTATATGGTTGCAAACGACACAGTCTACAGGTTTTCTTAAAGCGAATATGTCTTATAATCTGGATTCTGAGCCTAATATTCTGAGTAGGCGCTGACTTCACATATTTTCAATGGATTCAATTTCCCTCGAGATATTTTCCTTACGTAGCAAAATTTAGAATATTCAGAGGTGTTAGAATAGGGAATTATATGTTTCATAACAAAATTAATATGCATCGTTTTGTGACACACCCGGTTCTGCGTGTGTCTATAGGCGATATGTTATATATAGCCGTTAAACAAAATACTAAAACAACTTAGTAAATATGTGTACTTAACATAATTCAATAAATAAAAAATGAATAAATCGTATTTTCTTACTTCGATGCTTGGTTTTATTGTTAGGTAGTAATAATTTAAAGAATTAAGGTAAACCAAAGGTTAAACTCAAGGTACACACCTTTAGTTTAACCAAATTCCATATCAATCACTCATCAAAAAGGAGGTATAATGAGGTTAAACGGTGAATGTAAATAAATCCGTTGAAAAAAATATAATCCAATTGAAAACCTCCTTTTTAGGTCCGTAAAAAATTGATTTAAACTTTTATATACATTTTGAAAACCAACTTATATCAATATGTAAGTTACATAGAGCGGTCTTATCGCTAAAACCCAATTTCTTTCAGCCCCCCTTAGCGCAGGCACGAAAAAATGACAAGATATAAGAAAAGATAAAGTTGAACGCTCGCAACGTGGCATTGCCATAGTTATAAACTCAGCGTGCCTAACAAGAATAATATTAGGAACTATTCTCACAGATCCGCAAAATATTACAAGTTAAAACAAAAACAGCATCAACAAATAGTTAAAACAACAGTGAGTTCGCCCGATGTTCAAGTTTGTTTGGAAGTTCGAGACTTATTGACGGGCACGTCAACTGACATAACGATAGGACTTTTCAGATGACTTATTGTCAACCGACATATCTCATTGTAATGCAAGTTTCTTTTCTTTTTAGTAATATAAACTGCACAGTGATAAGTAATCTTAACTTACAAAAAATAATATTGGAGGGTTTACAACATCATAATGAGAGCTTAATTTACTGCGTCCACGGCAGTTAGTTGTACTAGAAGAATGAAAATATAAAAATAAAGTTTAAGGTTGTTTGATGCTAATCTCCAGAACAGTTGAATCCATTTTAAGGGGACTATTATATTATAAATTATATACCTACAAGATTAGTTGGGCGTGATGACTATATAGGATTTGCAGAAGGAGTATTTAACATAACTACTTACTTACTTATGCAGTATGCTGATTTGTATCGAGCTGTATGCTGTTGTCAATATGTGTAAGTATATTAATAGGTGAAGATTCTTTGTATGTGTTTTAAAACAAAGACGAAAAGAGCAAAGTTTAATATATGAATGTAAAAAAGAAAACTAAAATTTTACGTGTAGAGTAGAGAGGAAGGAGTGAAGAATTTAAACTAAACAAATTTTTGTACATTTTTGAAACACGGTACTATACGGTTGAAGATTATGTAAAAATATCTACCAAAAGTTTTAGACGTCTAGTATGGTTCATGATACAAAAATCAAGATACATAGACATTCAATTCTTTAAGACTAAAATTTTACTTTACTAAAAATTTAAGACAAGAAATAAAATATTTAAGACATTGCAATTGAAATTTACGGTAAAAATGCGACACAAAAAAGAAATTGAAAATTTGAATGATCATATGTATGAAACACGTCATTGATGCTGATTGCTTTTTATGCCTGGATAATGCACATGATGACACATCTGTGTGCTTCTTACATTATTGAATAAGGCTCTATCCGAGCTTCGAAAGTCTGAGTGAATTTGTCAGCCCTTGTAATGAACTCTGAGAACTCAATAAAAGAGGTTGGTAGGTAGAGATGAAATGAATTCTGAAATGTAATACGAGTACTTATATTTCTAAAATAGGTCCGTTTAATTTTGGAGCACAATTGGCCTTAATGTGTTGGCCTATATGTACTTTCATCATGGTTACTGTGGAGGATATACATAGGCTAAAGGTACATTATTGTCATAAAAAACTATTTTATCAAAAACCAGTTTATGGAAAAGTATATGATATCGAAGTCCCGGCAGCGTAGGGGTGTAAGAACAGGGAGAATGGGATATGGGGAGTGAGTATTATAAACTTGTTTGAAATATGTCAAGGCCAGTGGGTAATACAGGAATATTATAATATTAATTTATTTTTCCTTTCTTCTTGACTTGGATGGATAAAACCATTGAAGTGGATAAAATTCAAATTCAAATTATTTATTTCGGACTATTACATCCATATAGTGTTACTAACAATGTGTTTTAAAAACTAGTGTTAGTATTGAATAATATTATTATATTGTATGTCAACATTATGTTATGTTAACATTATATTTATTCGTTTATTATTTTTTTATCTTACGTGAATGGAAATCCACCTCTGAATAAGGGAAGAGTCCCATCTATCTGAAAAAACATGCAGGATGCGGTTGGAGGAGGAGCGCAAACGCACCAGCATGGAGGCGCAACGTTAAAATTAAATTAACGTAAAACTAATAAAAAATATGTTTGCGTTTACCTTTTCAAACTGACTTTGCTTATTCGGTTACATAATAAATACAAATGACATGTATGTATCGGCAATTCTAAATGTCTCTATAAGAACACTACTAATTTTCAATATTTTTTGTGATAGGAAAATGAAATTCTTTAGAACGTCAACGAAAGCCTAGGATCGTTTATTGGTTACTTAATTCAGGAAAAAAATTCTCCTGATTTCTTTCACACTTTTATCGTGCTGTCAATTAGCAATATGTTTTACTGTGGAGAGTAAGCTGGTAAATCGTTATTGAACAAAGGTCCAGAAGGTCCTGCTGTAAGATAGTGAATGTCAGAGTGTAATATCAAATTCTTTATCTAAATATATAGACAAGCTTTTTAGGTAATAACACCGTTAGAGTTAGAGGTTTCATTAATATTTTAATGAGAACAGGGTTAGCAAGACAGTTCACAATAAAAAAAGTCATACATTTTATAACAAAAACCTTTAATTACTTGTGGTGACATCTATTCAAATTCATGTAAGTAAGCTTCACACATACTTATTTAACAAACTAGCAGTGCCATCTGTATTCGTATTTGAAACTAAGATTGTTTTAAATTGTTCCAAACTCTCAATAGAACATTAACTGTTTTCTTTCAAGTGAGTTTGCAAAGATGGCGCTTACTTCAAAAGTATTGTTTTTGTGTATTCCACACGTTAATTAAATGTTGGTCAAGTACATTTAAATATGCGTGTTTTAAACGAAAACTAATTGCAGAAGAAGTCATTTTTAATTTAAATGTTTATTGAGATAAATTTTAATTTTGACATAATTATTTAGTGTGTTAGTGACTAGCTGTGACTTTTTCAACTTGAATAATTACATAATACTTAGGTATATATTAAGTTTAGGTATTAAATTACTTTTTCTCACTCAACTCTCTCTCACTCATTAAGAGAAGAGTAACAGTCTTGCTGTCCACCCAAAGAAAATTCAATTGCAGTTTATTCTGATTTCTTAAAAAAAAACATCAAAACTTCAATCTTTAATATTTCAATCAAAACTTTAATCCCCGTCGCTTGGATAATTAACACTTCACCATTGTG